TGTGCTTTTTATGCACACTCTGGCTTGATGTTATCCACTAATATATACCACCCTTGAAGATGTTGCAAGAGCAGTGTTAATTTACAGTACACAGCTTATCAGTAGGCAGGAGGCATGCATTTACGAGTTTTCCTTTTAGTCAGAATTCTTCTTTAGGGCCATCCAGAAAGCCTGATGGTTTCATACCAGTTGAGATCTGGGCAGAGGACCTGGGAATAATGTGGAATCTCTTAAAAGTCAGAATGGTTTAATGGAAAGGACATTCATCGGAGTTGATCCTTTGCCTCCAGGACTTATTATCAGCAGTCTAAAGAGGTCTGTGACCTCGATCAAATAACTAATCCACTTGTGATCCTATTTACTTTTTTTTTTTTTTTAAACAAATGGGGTAATACCAGCACCTACTCTGCAGTCTTACTATAAAGAGTGAACAAAATAGGTTTACATCAATTAGCATAGAATAGGCGAGTTGGTAGTAGTAGAGGTTGGTTTCCTTTAGTGCTCCCCACCTAATCTCAGTAGAGCAGTGTTGCTGGCCTTTGTAAGTAGTTCATTCAAAACTGTTCGAGTTTAATGTGCAATGATTTTGGAAAGAAAATACATTTAATGGACTGTATTAAATTTAGTATACTGTCTTATGGTTTTGTGTTATGTTTGGAAAGGCAGAAAATATCTATAGAAGTATGAACTGCATGGGAGAATAAAATGTACTAACTAATGGAATGACATTTAAATTTGTGATTATTGCAAGGAATGGAATTTGCTGTCAATTTTTTAAACAGTAAAAATTTTGCATAATAAACTCTAGTAACACCAGAGGAAGATCAACAGAAAGGGGAAAACGAGTGAAGGAAAATGCTTATATTTTAAAATGAGAAATGATGTGACTATATTACTTAGCACAGGGGTAAAGCATGATATTTACATAGGAAGAAATATATCAGATTAGCAATGTAAATGAACCCATATTTATTTTGCTATTATAAACATTTTCAACTAATTAAATTAGGGATTATGAAGTAAATATTGGAAAACTGGTGCACTTCAGTTTTAACTTTACAGATAGCATCTTTTCCTGACCATATGAAACACTGTCTTTAAAATATCCTTTAGCTTTTGGCCTGGTAATTTTGGATAAAATAAGGAAACAGCTCCAAAGGGGGAAAATATGATTTATACCAGTTTATTTGTGGCAGTATATATGAATGTATATATGTATGTATATAAATAAGTATAAATATAAACATGTTTATATGTATGATCATACACATATACACGAGGCCAGCTTATAAATTTGGCAAAGCAAACATTAGCAAAATGGAGTCATGTATAGTTATTAAAAATGATAAGCCCACAGACTATCAATATTTGGAAATAGGTATATGAAATACATTTAAAAAGAAAACCATCCTATTGTATGTAATTTACAGCTGGGGCCCCTGTTCTAGGGATGTAGTGAAGCCACAAGACTGTCTGTTGCTGCTTCAGGGAAATGATACTCTAGAGTGGGGAGATAGGTAGCAATGAGTACAAATTGACTAGATAAGATAGTTTCAGATAATAAGTGCTATGAAGAAAATTCAATGGCATTAGAAGGAGAGGGCCTTGGGGCACATGGGTGGTGACATCCTAAAGAGGTTGGGAGAGGAGGAGGACCCCTGAGCGGGGAATCGTGTTGAGGGGTGGGTGGGAGGGTGAAGGTGTGGGCTTCGGGAGCAGCGAGTTAAGGGATCCCAGACTGGAGGGAGTTCGGCATGTGTGAACCAAGAGCGGGCCAGTGCAGCTAGCTCTTGGGGAATAATGGATCGCATGTTTGCCTGGATTACAATAGAAACCAAGTTATCTTAGAATGGCTTTAATGGCTAGGCTAAAATTTTTATTAATTGTGCAATTATAGGAAAATACAGAAGTATATGAAACAAATGTACATATTAAAGAAGAATAATAAGGCAAGTATCCACAGACCCACTGCTAGTTTATGAAATAAAAGACCTTTAATCCCCTTGTAGCTTTCTGACTGCATCACCTTCCCTTGCCCCCATGGGTGAATACTGTATAACTTTTGAGATGATTCACTTCCTTTGCTATGATTTTGTGACCTATATATGTAATCTAAACAAATACCTTAGCTTGTTTTGAACTTGACATAAAAGAACCATGCTGTGTGTATTCTTTTGTGACTTGCATCTTTCTCTCCAAATTGTGAGATTCGTCTGTCTTGTTGTGTGAATTTGTAGTTATTTTAACTTTATAGCATATGACTGCACTATAATTTATTCACTTATTCTGTTGATATATCTCCCCCACCCCAGCCCAGTATTTGGCTAGCTATTACTATGATGGGTTCTACTGTGGATTTTCTAGTACACATCTGCAAGTGCCCATGTGCAAGAGTTTATCTTGGGTATTTACCTAGGAGGAAAATTTTTGGGTTGTAGGGACATCATCAAATTTATTAGAAAATGCAAACTACGTAAAAAGTAATTATGCCAGCTTTTACACTCACTGGCAGCATAAGGAGATTTGTTGCTCCATACATAAAACCACACCACTATGTGGAGTTGCTAGACTTAATAATTATTGCCGATTGGGTTACTGTAATTGTATTGAGGTATCTTGAGGTTTTAATTTTTACTTTTATGATCACTTAAACCTTACGAAAAGGTTTAAGCACCTTTTCAAGTGATTATAGGCTACTTGGGTTTCCTTCACTTTTGTCTATGCACGTGTTTTGTTCAATTTTTTATTGGAGTTTCTGCCTCATTTTATTGTAGCAGTTATACCTTCTGGATGTGCGCTTGTCTTCACTCTCTTATGTATTTACAATTTTAAGATACATTTTATTAATCTTTCTATATTGTTATCTATGTAATCACCCCAAAACCTAGTGGCTAGACAGCAGCCATATATGCATTTCGGTGTATGCTCTGCTCGCTGGGGTGGTGGTCCCCTCTGGATGGCCTCGTGCACATGTAGGAAGCTCTGCTCCTGCAGGCTGACCATTAGCTGCTGGGTGACTAGGGGGCCACCGTGCTGCAAGCCTTTCGTCTGCCAGCAGGCCAGCCAGAGCTTGTTCACGTGGAGGACAGAGGGGTTCCGAGAGAGTGCAGCAGAGGTGTGCAGAATTCCTTGCAGTGGAGGCTCTGAGTTGGCAGTGTCACTTTCCCCATGTTCTGCTTTCCACAAGACTGGCCTAGATACAAGGGGTGGGAAAATAGAGCAGCTATCCACAGGCGGAGTCGCATGGCACTGAGATGTGCCTGCCAGGAGGGATGGCGCTTTGTGCTTTTCCTCCATACTCCAAGAGTGAGAAAGTACAACCCTCTAAGATCTTCTAAAAGTTTTACAGTTTTGCCTTTCATATATAGGTCTTACAGTGTTTTGATTTTTTTTTTTAACTTTAAAGAGAAAAAGAGTTTGAGGGCAGCAAGATAAACATGAATTAGAGGAAAAATGAAGTCTCAAAACCCGTGGCAGAGGGGAATGTTGATGAGGGTGGAGGCTGCGCACGTGTGGGTCAGGGTGTGTGTGGGAAATCCTTGTGCCAGCAGCACGACTTTGCTGTGAGCCTAAACTGGCTCTGAAAATGGCCTGTTCAACAGCAGCAGCAAAAACATGACAGCAGCTGAAAGAGCTAATGAGCATTATTAGACAGTTTAAAAAGTGAAAGAAACCAGCTTGTCCTGGAGGGCATGGGGGGGTGTGTGCATTGTACTGGGGATAAAGATTTGGTTAAAAAACACAAAAAAACCAGGTAGCATTTTCTAATGTAAAGATAAGAATTTTTTGCTTTTATTGCTTGTTAGCTATAATACAATGAATAATATGAGAAAAAATTGCTCCTGCTTCATCTCACCCTGTTATTAAAAACAATGCTTAGTTTGCACATTGCTTCACTTTCTTATCCACATTTATTTATTTATTGCATGTGCGTATTCTGATCAGCAGTTATGGATTGCATTTTATGCTTTTGAACTTTGCAGTTTCCTTGATGTGCTTCTGCCAGTCTTCATTGTGCTGAGACAGGAGCTGTGTGGGGTGCAGGAGACAGTGAACAGCTTCTCAGAAAGTGCTTTAAACCTGAGGCAGGGTTGTGCGCTGGTCTGGGCATGAGCTTTCAAGCAATGGCTCTGGATTAAAATCAAGCCTTTGCTGTTGTCTTTTGTAGCTGTGCAACCTTAAGCAAATTACTTAACATCCCTGAGCTTTTAGCCTTCGTTTGTAAAATGGGATGATAATTTTTATTTTATATATCTCTTTTATTTTATATATCTCTTGAATATTGAATGAAATAAAAAATATATATCACCTAGCATGGTACGTGGCCAATAAAATAAATGTTAGCCTATTTTAGAAGCAGGGTTTTCTATTCTGTCTCTACTTAAGATGAGGACCTCTGTTGGTATTTTGCAGAATTAATTCTACCGTTTCATTTTGGCCTTCAGTTATCTCCCTGATCCTGTTTTCTGTGAACATTATTTTTGAATCTTCTGGGTTTCTCTGTCTGGAGTGGTGATTTACTTGGTGGTCAATTAAGACCACCTGGTTGGCTGACCCTGAGCTTTTGAGTTCCTTATGTTTGGAACCACGGCAGGCAGCCAGAGCTAATCAAGCCTGGAGAGATATCAGGTGTGTGTGTTCCTAATCACAGCCGGAACTTTAGGCAAGTCCTGACCTGAGTGAGCAGAAAGAGGGAAAGTGCTTTAGGCGACAATGTGAAATAATCAGACTGAGGAAGAAGATGGGGGAGGGAATAAACATTTCTCCAGCACCGATTCTGTGCCAGGGTATAGACTAGAAGACAGAGCCTACCCAGAGAGTGTGCTAGGTTGAGGATGGTGGGCATCTTGCAAAGGAGTTGGGTTGTGCCCAACTCCTTTTGTTCTCACAGATTGAGTGGAGGAGAGCTCTGCAGCTCTACTATGTGTGGGAGGAATAAATTTCTTCTATGCCTTGACTTAAAACAAGGACCCAACTAATCATTATACCTTTCTTTCTAGGTCTTTCAGCAGCCCAGAGGAAGTTTGCCCATTCACTCAGAGACTTTAAATTCGAGTTTATTGGTGATGCAGAAACTGATGATGAACGTTGCATAGGTAATTAAAAATGAGTTTTTGGTTTGTTTTCCTTTGCTTTGGCCATCAGATAATCATTCCTTTCTCCCTACAGATGCTTCCTTACGTGAATTTTCAAATTTTTTGAAGAATCTGGAAGAACAGAGAGAAATTATGGTGAGTTGAGAAGGATGTAAATCAATAAATCACATTGCAAAGGGTGAAAAGTCTGGGTTTAGAAGGTAGTTCTGGTGTAAGTTTTGGTGTGTTTATCCATGAATCCATTAGTGCACTGTAGTGGAAAGAGGTTTTAGGAGCCCTGATTTCTAGTTCCACGAGGGTGCTGACCTTGATCAGATATGGGACAGGTTGCTGGGCCCCTGGACGAAAGTCCTGTTTCGTCATCCGTACAGTGGAGGGCTGGACTACATCAGTGAGTTCTAGCTTTTTGTTAACAGCAGAGCATTTTCATTTAAATAGGCTCTCCTGCAGAACCATAATGTATCAAGGAGATGAAAGCAGAAAAGCTTATGTAGATGCAGAGGGACAGCAGGGCAGTGTTAGCGCCTGACTTGTACCCCTGTAGATTTCTAGGCTGTGTGGAGAGGGAGAGAACTCAGGCATTGGAAATCTCTGAGATCCCTCTTTGCACTGACATTCACAATCATACCAAGAATAGGAAAAGCTAACCTTCAATGGGTGTTCTCTGTGTACCCGGTGTTATGCTGAGTGCCTTGAGTGGGTGATCTTATTTAACATATGCTCAGCAATGAATTTTGGGGATATTGAATAGTATTTGCTTGCCTTCCTTGTGATATTCTTTTTTTTTTTTTTATGCCTACTTTGAGTGTTCATCTTGTGATATTCTTTAATCGAACAAAGATTTACAGTAGAATTTCTTCTAGTTTATGACACTTTTTTTTTTTCAAAAAAATTTTTTTTAAAAAAACTACAAACTCTTTTTTCCTATGTTCTTGAGGATGAGCACTACTTAGAATTATGTTAAAGTGTAAGTGTTTTGAGTGGGTTCAAATGTGGTAGAAATAAGAGTACTGAACATGAGAGCTAAGATAGTTAACCTGTACCTGTTCTGTGCCAGGATATAGACTGGAAAACAGAGGCTACCCAGAGAATGTGCTAGGTTGAGGTTGGTGGACCTCTTGGCAAAGAAGCTGGGTTGTGCCTTCTCAAAATGAGTGCGGAAGAGCTCTATAGCTCTACCAAGCATAGGAGGAATGCATTTCTTCTGGGCCTTGACTTAAAACAAGAATCCAATTAATCATTATGCTTTTCTTTCAATCTTCCTTTTTATAATAGTTTGGAAAGACTTAGAAATAATAATACTGGTCCTTGATAGCTAAGATAGTTAAGCTGGACAATATACCAGGGACTGTTCTAAGCTGTTTACCTAAATTAAGTCATTTAATTCTCATGTCAACCCTATGAGGTAGTTATTACTCCCCATTTTACAGATGAGGAAACTGAGACACATTACCTTGCCCAAGATCACATGGTATTTAAAAAGTAGAGCTGGTATGTGATAAGAAGCAGGCACCCTGAGCCCTTCTTCCTTCCTCACTGCAGCCAGCTTCATAAGACGTTACTGTCATCTCCTGGGTGGTGGTTTCTGCAGGGCAGAGTTGTAGGAAGGGCAGAAGTAGGAAGAGGATGCTGATTTTTGATTTGAAAATGGACAGAGATATATGTCCTTTAAAGGCCCTAATATAATTTACACTGTTCACTAAATTCTGAGATAATTTGTATATTTTGTAAATGACCATAGAGAGCACGTGAGGATACTGTGGTCCCACGAAGTTCTTCTGGCACATGCTGACAGGTTCAGCCATTTCCATGTGATCCTGTACTCACTGATTTTTCAGCTGTTTAGGAAAGACTAAATATGCTGGTGGATAAAAATAGTGCCGTGACATCACGTGAAGTGAGTGCAGGTGGGTGTGGATGGGTGTGGATGGAGGTATGTGTTCTTAGTTTATGTTAATAGTACCAGTTTTCTGTTCTTAACCCTCTTTCCTGTTTGGGATATGAGGATACAGAGGCAAAATCCCTGCTTTCATAGAGGTTAAATTATAGGAAGGGGTGGTGACGTATAAATAAACATATAATACATTGTCAGGCGGTGGTTAGTGCTACAGAACAAAATAAAGATGGATAAAGAGCCAGAAGTGGAGTGGAGTGTTGTTATATCTGGAGTGGTGACTTGCTGAAGCCCTTTCAGCAGAGAACTCTATGCGGAGTCAGTCTGGTGTCTGGAGGAAGAGAGTTCTGGGCAGAGTGGTGCTGGATTTTAGCTCTGCAGTAGCACTGTGTGACCACTGCCTGTCTTGATACTCTATGTCTGTTTTAGGTTCCTTGAGATGAATTGATGAGGTCAAAACCCTGGAAACGTGGGATCAGTTCCAGGCTGCGTAGTATAGATAGCACGGCTCACAGAGCTGTTGGTGGCTGACCTGCTGACTGAATCTTCAGCTGTGATAAGGTTGAGAGGTTTCTGTCTTAGGTAGGAGGAGGGTAACAAGGTTAGGTTTCCAGTGCGGAGCAGAAGCGAGAATAGAATGGTGTCTATATAAGGCCGTGAACTTCACAGAGGAGTGGCACTGTGTGTTACAGCCCATCTGTGGGGACAAAAAGCACCTGCTGAATAGCAGGAAGCTATCCAAAGGCCGAGGGCAGTGGGGAGCAGCGACAATCAACCGTAAAATTAACAGGGTACCTCCTAATGCTTCCTTCCTTCTCAGTTTGGAAAATTTCAAATGCATAAAAGTCAAGAGAAAAATATAATGAACCTACATATACTCAACACTCAGCTTTGCAAACAATCTTGCTTCTCCTGTGCCCCTCACTGCTCCCCACCATTATTTTGACAGAAGGCCCAGTATCATATCATTTCATCCATAAATACCTCTGTATTTATCTCAAGAAATTTCCAGTGTGGTCCTGGAGGATACCTGGTAAAGGGTTGATTATAATATGCTGCGTGTGATAACAAATGTGTAGAGCGTAGCTAACGTGGAGTGGGGAGTGCTGAGTCTGTGGCTGTCAGGAAAGACTTTATGGAAGAAATAGTATTTGAGCTGGGAGTTTGTAGGAGTGGAGACACCGCTGGAGGGCCTTTATGTAGTTTAACAGGTTCATACCTCCTGAACACAGTCACAAGGAGATAAGGTCTTTAAGCAGCTAAAATGCATGCCACTGCCTTCTGAGAACCTTTAAAAAACTCTTGTTTTATTTAAAATTATTACAAACCAGTAGGATGTTAAAAGCCACAGACTAAAAAAGGAATGCAAAATGACAGCTCCAAAATAGAGGTAGAAATATTCTAAAATTGGTTACAAAGATTTAAACAGTCTTAGCGATCGCTTACTCTTGAAAGGCAATTTAATTCAGGACTTCAAAAAATGCTAAATAATGGTGCAGCATCATAATTGGATATTTGTAATTAAGACTGAGTCATTAAAATGTTTATATATATCTATGTTTCAGAAGGCAAAGACCAATGCCAAATATTTAAAAAAGCTTTCCATAGCTTAAATAAATAGGACTTTGGGCTTTAGGGGATAAAGTCGTCTGTCTGGTGGAAGCTAAGCAATCTGGAATAAGTTCTTCCTTGTTGGTTGTGTGAGCCACCAGGTATATATGTTCATGTGCCTAATCCGTATACCTACATAGGCTCTACTTAGTTGAACACATACCTTGTGCCTCCTGCATGCCAAGCACTGTGTTAGATGTTATAAAGACATAGTTCCTACCCTTGAGTAGTTAGCTGCCTGGTAGAGGAGATGGCCAAAAGCCTGTAATTGCAGCATGCTTTGTGGTAATAAAGGGATTGAGGAATTTAGAGAAGGCATCTTGGAGAGGTGATTTCTGAGCGGAGTTGAAGGATCAGAGTTAGCCCAGATGAATTGAAGCTCTGGTTTCCTCTTTCAGGGGAAAAAGGGTTGAATTTAGAAAAGAGGGAAGGATATGTTTGCATATTCCTTCCCCCTCCCCCAGCCCAGCATCCAGCTCTGTTGCCATTAAAACGAATTCTTAGAGGGGGAAGTAGAAAAATCGCCAGTCTGAGAAAAGAAGTCAGTGTTTCCCTCCACACACCCAAGTCCAATTTCTGTGAATGGATGTGCTGAGCCCTTTCAAAAGTCAATATTGTCTTTTTCAGAACAGTGTTTTCAAGTGAGTCGTTTTTACTGATAATGTTGACACCCTTAAGTGTGAAAGTAAATAGCTCAGATGAGGGCACGGGCTAGGGTACAGTTAGTGGCCAGGATTGTGGCGCTCACTTGTGCGTTGTGTGCTCTCCGAGGAAAGCGTGCTCTGTGGCGTGTCGCTGCCAGAATTCCGGAGATGTTCTCTGGCATGGCAGGACATGTTGTACTTATCTGAGGTTGGCAGCTGTCCAGGAATCTGAGGACTTTTAAAATAGTGCTGTCGTGTTTATGATGTTCTTTTAAAAGCCCTTCATATTGTATTTACTTCTCTCTGTGTGCGTCCTTTTATATCAGATCGTTTAGATTTTGTTCCTAACCTAAAAAGGATTGCTCGGTCTCTGAGGATTCTGGCAAACCAGGGTCCAGAGGTTCAGGAAAGCTGCAGGGAAGGCGGGTGGGGCAGGAGAGACAAGGCGGAGCTTGCCAGATGGTGCCCCAAAGGTGCCTGCCGCCAAGCAGATGTGAGTGGGTGGCTTTTCCACCAGCTGCCTCTCGTTCCCCATTTGGCAAGGTGGCCCTTTGCTTACACTGTCTCTTTAGGCTGTTGAGACCCTTTTCTCTCTTTTTTTCATGGTGTTTTCCTCTACCACAGATGTCACCCTTGTGTAAACACTGTGCCAGGGAACACTTGCCGGGTGGCGCCCCCAGAGCTTTTGTCCCCCCCATAGAGAAGGCTGTGAGCTTCTAAGCGCTGAAGCCTTTTTGTCCATAGTTCAGATGGCTACAGGAGAGACCGAGTGCCGGCTTTGCTTCCCTCCTTTCTCATCATTCTTTCATTGTCTCGAATCTCCTCTGTGACCTTTTGAATTTTTGACACTGATTTTTGTTCCACGCTATTATTTTTTTTTCCCAAAAGTGTTTCACAGTATTACTCACCCAATATATATCGGCTAAAATGAATTAAATCTATTTTGCCTTCTGGGAGAAAATTTCCTGATACTCTTTCTTTAGTGT